TAGAAAAAAAATTTTTTTTCTTCACAATGGAATTGTGTGATAAGCATTTATTCCATTCAATGGAATTGTATGATAATGGTTTTTTCCGCTCAATGGAATGGTATAATGAAAATCTTTTACGGACGAATTTTGCAAAAAACTCAGTTTCTGACTGAGCAAAACAAAGAACTAAAAAGAGGCAAAAATTAAATCCTAGCCCAGCCCAACGTGCCAGTCTCTCAACAGAAGATAAAAACTACAGAAAATTTAGAGGTTTGAAACTCTGTTACCGTGTTTCCTGTAAGTTTCTCTCCTCGAAATCGAGACAGCAGAAAGTTACTCTTAGTTGGAACCAACACCAGGGGGAGAGTTGCCTCATACTACAAATTACTGACTAGAAATTGAAGACGCCATTCCGAAGTTCAAATCTGCCGATCCAAAGCACGCTCAATGTCAGCTCGAGAAAGCCTTACATACTTATCATCTAAAAACAAACTGAGATTCTGTGAAATTGCACATGAATATAGAGTACATATGTATCATAACTTCTATCTGTGCGACAACAATCAAATTTTAAGACCACCATCGGAACCATGTATGAGAAGATCCATTTGAAAGTAACCAAAGCAATGGTGCTCAGAAACACAATACAGCACTGATTTACAAGGTAAAACGGAGCAGTAATGTTTTTTTCCGCGCCATCGGTCGCGTGCCTTCCTAATGAATCTTCTCATATGTGATTTCTATGATGACCTTAAAAACTAACTAGAGCACAATTGAGCTCTGAGATAATTATTTTCGAAACAACAAAAAAACAGACCCCAAACCCACAAAAGCAACCCCCAATCTAAGCCAAATATAACCGAGCTCATTAAAGGAATGGAACCCAGATCTCAGCACACAGAGCAATAACTTAAAGATAGCAACGAGTTTCAACAGCCTACTTCAACCATTTTGAAACGATTTCTAAGACGGATTCAATCGCCACCAACGCGTTAATAGTGCAAAATACCTCACGCGTTTATTGTCCCAAATTGACTAAATTTCTAATTTTAAACCCCCATAGTTTCACGAAAAAGGATCACAGGGAAATTATCTTTTCAAATTGGAGCTAAGAGCAACAATATCTTTCGGCTGATATAAAAAAAATCTGTCAAAAGTGGCTAGGTAAAAAGTCAAAATTTTTCTGAATAAGAAAAACAGCGCCTCGAGCACAAAAGTCGGAAGAACAAACTGTTCTGCCTAGATCTCAAATCTTTTAAAAGATTAGCTAAAAGGTACGAAAACAAATTTGTCGCGGAACCACAAAAGTTCAATTTTTTCCTTCTTTAAAAATTCTAGTGAAAAAATATAACATAAAATGTTTCAATGACGTTAAAAGGCAACAATTATAGTTGACGCTAATTTATTGGTAACATCGGTGACTCTGAGCAAACTACTCGGTGATTTTATAACTACTCAACAACTTTACCGTTTTAAGTGCTGAAATATGGGAAAAAAACTAGATTGAATTACCTTCAGTTTTATAGACCTACTATAGTTTTGTGCACAATTTGACCTTAATTGCGCACTATTTGACGCCCGGGCTTTCAAAAAAATGCATATCATACAATTCCATACTATAGAAAAAGCTTATCATACGATTTCATACAATTCCATAGGATAAAAAAATCGAAAAAATTTTTTTTTTTTCATAGAAAAAAAATTTTTTTTCTTCACAATGGAATTGTGTGATAAGCATTTATTCCATTCAATGGAATTGTATGATAATGGTTTTTTCCGCTCAATGGAATGGTATAATGAAAATCTTTTACGGACGAATTTTGCAAAAAACTCAGTTTCTGACTGAGCAAAACAAAGAACTAAAAAGAGGCAAAAATTAAATCCTAGCCCAGCCCAACGTGCCAGTCTCTCAACAGAAGATAAAAACTACAGAAAATTTAGAGGTTTGAAACTCTGTTACCGTGTTTCCTGTAAGTTTCTCTCCTCGAAATCGAGACAGCAGAAAGTTACTCTTAGTTGGAACCAACACCAGGGGGAGAGTTGCCTCATACTACAAATTACTGACTAGAAATTGAAGACGCCATTCCGAAGTTCAAATCTGCCGATCCAAAGCACGCTCAATGTCAGCTCGAGAAAGCCTTACATACTTATCATCTAAAAACAAACTGAGATTCTGTGAAATTGCACATGAATATAGAGTACATATGTATCATAACTTCTATCTGTGCGACAACAATCAAATTTTAAGACCACCATCGGAACCATGTATGAGAAGATCCATTTGAAAGTAACCAAAGCAATGGTGCTCAGAAACACAATACAGCACTGATTTACAAGGTAAAACGGAGCAGTAATGTTTTTTTCCGCGCCATCGGTCGCGTGCCTTCCTAATGAATCTTCTCATATGTGATTTCTATGATGACCTTAAAAACTAACTAGAGCACAATTGAGCTCTGAGATAATTATTTTCGAAACAACAAAAAAACAGACCCCAAACCCACAAAAGCAACCCCCAATCTAAGCCAAATATAACCGAGCTCATTAAAGGAATGGAACCCAGATCTCAGCACACAGAGCAATAACTTAAAGATAGCAACCAGTTTCAACAGCCTACTTCAACCATTTTGAAACGATTTCTAAGACGGATTCAATCGCCGCCAACGCGTTAATAGTGCAAAATACCTCACGCGTTTATTGTCCCAAATTGACTAAATTTCTAATTTTAAACCCCCATAGTTTCACGAAAAAGGATCACAGGGAAATTATCTTTTCAAATTGGAGCTAAGAGCAACAATATCTTTCGGCTGATATAAAAAAAATCTGTCAAAAGTGGCTAGGTAAAAAGTCAAAGTTTTTCTGAATAAGAAAAACAGCGCCTCGAGCACAAAAGTCGGAAGAACAAACTGTTCTGCCTAGATCTCAAATCTTTTAAAAGATTAGCTAAAAGGTACGAAAACAATTTATCCGTCATCAAAAATTGAATGCAGGTTAACCTTCAAAAGTGGAATTATTGTTCGGACTTCGGCAGAAAATGGCGAAATTTTTTTTTGCTTGGGGTAGTTTTTTTTCTTCAGACAATTTTCGACGTTTTAATTAGCCAATTTTGACAAAATTTCTATAAATCATCTAAAAGATATTGTTGTCTTGAGCTCAAATTAAAAATGATGTCTTGCCTTTGATTTTTCGTAAGTTTGTGGGGTTTAAATATTGCCCTTTTGGCCATTTTGGGACAACTAGCGCGCAATATACTTCTCGCTATTAACGCGTAAGCGAAGTTTTAATCCGTCTTAAAGTCGTTCCAAATTAGTTGAAGCAGGTTGTTTGCCATCATTTTTTTGTTACTAGGAGTCAAAACTTCCGGCAACCCTGGAGTTCATAGATGTCTGTTGTTTTTTTGTCAAAAAAAGATTCATTTTTTTTCAATAAATAAAATAAACTAGGATTTGAAAGTTAGAGTGAATATAAGACCAAGCGCAATTAAGACAGTGCAAATTTTTTTTTCAATATATGTAGTTTTGCTTGGAGATATAGGGTTTGAGATAAAAGGAAGTCGTATGATAATTTTTTTTTTTAAATAAACAACATTTTTGATGATCCAGTTTAAGCTCATGTGAACTTGCTGAAGAATTTTTATGGAGAGTTTCTGAACGAAATTTTAATTCTGAAAACAAAATGTTTATCATACCGTTTTCATAAATTGGAAGTCGTCCAAAAACACATGAAAAATTTTGATGATCAAAATGATTTAAAATTAAAAAAAAAACAATTTAAGCTCATTTGAACTTGCTAAAATCTTTTTGAATAGTTTTTTAAAAAAATTGTTTATGGAAAAAATCTCTATCATACCAGTTTCATAGAATGGAAATCGGAGGATAAGCATTTTTTTGACGAAAAAAATGATCAATTTGATCTAACCTTATCAGAAAACGATTAAAGCTCATTTAAACTTGCCAAGAAAACTGTTTTTTAAGATTTTCAGTGGAAAAAATGCGTATCATACGATTTTCATAAATGGAAATCCTGTGGTAATCATTTTTTCCATACAACCCATGCATGGAATTGTATGATAAGCCTTTTTTGTATGGAATTCTATGATAAGCATTTTTTGTATAGCGGTCAACCCGGGCGTTCAGCTTCATTGACCTACGAAAGTATTGTGCACAATTTGACCGAGAAATGGAAGGATTCAAACTTCTGACTTGATTTATCTTTTTGACTGGAAATTATCTAGGGATTTACCAGCAGCAAAAATACTTTCTGTTGAATAAGATTTCATATCCTAAAAAGGCGCCCTTGGCCTCAATATCTACTAAACATGAGAAGGAGAGCTCGCCGAAAAACCGCGGTTTGTTATTAAGCTTTCCAAAGGGTGCCTACAACGTTTTTTGCCTGTTTTTTCAAAAACTTGCTTACGGCGCAGAAAACTAAATCTTTATTGTAATTTGGGAGAGCTCAGAAATTCAATTTGATCGAAATAAGAAAAAATGATCGACACAGTTTTCAAAAGTGTTTTGAAAATCAGCCCCTTCCATCGAGAAAAAGCTAGATCTACCCCTGTATCAAAAATGAAGTTTGTTTGAAAATATTGTTATCCTTTTTGATGAGGCCAAAAAATTTGTTTTTAGAAATGTAGAACGAGAAAAATGGATGCTGTACAAAAGTACCAAAAAGGACCCTTTGGGTTACTAGGGGTTCGAATCCCCACGGGAAGGGACGGGACGGAATTTCCACGTCCCTTACCCCTCCTAATTATGAACCTGACCATAACTGTTCCACATATTCAGACCAGACAATAACTAGGATGCTATTTAATCTGTGTCGCCTTCATCGTTGTCAATTAGTAACAGAAGCTTAGTAACAGAGGTACTCTTCACCTTGGGTTTCAGACCAAGACATGTCTACAACCTACTGAAGAAGACATTTGAGTAAACTAATTCCTATGCGTCAGCATATTTTTCCATCATGAATACTTGAAAAGATCAGGGTATAGTAAGTGTATCGGGGTTTGTAATTCCACCATGATGCACCACAAGGAAGATTTGAGGTAATTTGTGAGGTAAATATTTTTGTGATGTCATCCAAAAAGTACTTAAAAACGAGAGCTCATTTGGTAAACATCCCACTTTATGTTCAGTTTGGAAATGATTAAAGCGAAAGAAAATGACTCTACCTAATTCGCAATCAGATTAATCAAGCTAGTCGACGATCATAAATAACCAAGCCCACGTAGATTTTTTAAAATCTCAGGTTTTTCAAAAGACATTGAAGCGAATTAAAAATCGAACTAGAAAAGCTTGAAAATATATTTTGTTTCGGTATTTAGTAAGCATTGTCAATGAAAGTAATTGTTTTGAAAACCTCATTTTTAAAACACACCATATTTTAGTTTCACGAACGCTTTTAATTTCGTTTTTCAACTTTTTTGGATAAAAAATTGATATTATAGCTAAATCTAGATAGGTTTTTCTTCTTTTGGTTATTTATGTCCTTTTCATCCCCAATCTTAGTAACAGCAACTTCAGCCAGCACAGAATTATCGCCCTGTAAAGTAAAGTCCAGATCCAACTCCACTGACAAAGAATACCTCAACTTGCCCTC